GCTGATCCAAATGTTAGAGTCGACAGTTTCTGACCATCTAAAACTGTGGCATTCTCAGTTTATGTGGTACGAGAAAGGAGGCTGTCAGCTGGCATTCTAAGAGGGATCACGTTATGTTTTATATTTTACTCCCATAGGATCTTGTAATCTAAACAAAAAATGTGTCATGAATTATGTGGATGGTAGTCATTGTAATGCAACAAATTATTTATATCATATGGCTGTGTATGCTTATTTTCTTTGTGTTGCATGGTCTTTCATTTCTCATTAAATTGTACAGATAATATCTCTATATATTTGACTCAAAATTAAATAATTATCATATTAATGACTAAATGGTTTATAACGTTTCTAGATTACTATATAACATTTCTATATTAGTAGACACAAAATATAAATGTGTTTGTGTATATTTTCTGGAAACGCAAAATGATTTTACTAGACAATGTATCTATATTGCTAGACACATAATATAAATGTATCTACTCAAACGTCTCTATACTTCTTAATACACAATATGACGTCATTACAAAACGTGACTACATTAGTACACACATAATACAAATGTATCTACTCAAACGTCTCTATACTTCTTAATACACAATACGACGTCACTACACAATGTGACTACATTATTACACACATAATATAAATGTGTCTATGAGAACGTCTCTATATTTCTTAGCACATAACGAAGCGCTGCTATATAATGTAACTACACAAATAGACACGTTATATAAATGTATCTATAAAAGTGTATCAATTTGCGTAGGCATGCAACTAACGTCTCTACAAAATGTCTCTTTATCACCTTGACACGCTTAGAGAACTCGTCTCTACAAGTCCTGACACGGTCCATGCGAAGACGCTTCTAACACGCTTTATAAAAACGTGCCTACAATCTTGTAGAGACAAAATAAAACGTGTCTAACACATAAATAAAGTGTCACTACAGGGGGTATTTCTAGTAGTGTAAGTGCTATCACGAGGAAACCTACTCTGATACCAATTGAAAGGATCTAGCAAGTGGCCTAGAGGGGGGTGAATAGGCCTTTTTCTGAAGTTTAATCAACTTATGAAAACAGTCAGAACGTGGAACCTCTAGGTTTGAGTGCGGAGGTTCTAGGACTGAGCGTGGAACCTCCGGGGATTAGAGTATGAAATCGATCTACTGCGGAATTTAACGAATGAAAAATAGATCGAATGTAATACCAGCCTTCCTAGGGAGTATGTTGACCTATCCAAACAATCGGTTGCACCTAGAAGATGAGGAATTCGTAGATTGGATGCAAACCCTAAAAATCAATCCAAATCACAAGTAATAGCAACAGCAACAGCAATTATAGTCAACACAAGGATTTATCCCGTGGTTCAACTCGCCTTAAAGGCTTGTTTACATCCACGTTGTTGAGGTTAGCCATAAAGGCTATGGAGTCTCTTTCAACTCGCTCCTCTTCTCTAACCTATCACCAAGACAATGGGTTAGAGGGTTCCACTAAGTCATAAAGGGTAATACAAACTTCTCGGTGCTCAACCACAGCATATTGGGAGCTACGGGGCGATCGCTAGCCATCTAGGAGCCAAGCTCCAAGAGTAACGAACACACCAAGTGGCTAGGGCTTCACCAAGTGCACAAGAATAGAGGAGAAGGATCTTCTCGAGCTTTCTCGCACTCTCTAGAGCCAAATCCCTCAAGGAATCACAAAGATTTGAGCAAGGGAGTTGGGAGCACCAAGCTTGGGTGAGAGAGAGAGAGAGCTTCAGTTCGAGTTTGAGTCAATGAGGAAGAAGATGACCGTTGGGGGCGAAGGGGTATGGTATAAATACCACCCACGTCACCCACAAAACGGTCTGGTCAGACAGACCTCGGAGCCTCCGTGTTTGAGCGCGGAGGTTCAGCGCCGCGGAGGTTCTACGTAGGCCAAAGCAGATAAGAATTTAGCTCGGCTGGCTTTTTGTGGCTGGGATTATTTGAGTTGAAGATAGAGTTTTGAGCACTTGGTTCCACCCAGCACACCATTAGTATCCCCCTTGATAGTACGGCTTGTCCTATAACTCAATTTTAAAATATAAAATGAATTAACATAGCTCTTTGAGCCATTGCAAGCCATCGATTCAAGTTGGGGAATCATCTCCTTTGTTTCTTTGCATCCACGATTAAAGATATTCTGTCAAACACTTGTCAAAGCCATTAATCCTTTAATTATGTGGTCAACATCACCAAAACCCACTTAGATCTTGATTGCACTTACAAGCTCTCCTACCTCTTTCACCATTCTTGCACCCCTATTGTAAAAACTTCAGAGCATTAAAGCGAGGAACACGCACTCGGTCGTCTCTGAGAGTAGACGTAGGGCTCCGGCTTGAACCAGTATAAATCCTCGTATCTTTTGGATGCTACCATCGTCTTCCTAGAGCAGCGTGATATTCATATAAATTTACTAGTCCGGTTTACAAAACACCGACAGGTATGCTTTAGTGGAAAGTTTTTTTTGTAGCTTTAGATCTATACTTTTCTGTAATTAATTCATAAATGCAGTTTCTGTGATCCAATAGTGAAATTTTTATAGTGGATTAATCATTGCATGCTTGACATGTAGCAAAAATTTCATGATCATTGGATCATGCACAACTGAGTTAGTCTACAGATCAAGCATGAAATGATTAGCCCACCATAAAAATTTCACCACAGTTAGACAAGAGAAACTGCAACTAAGAATTAATTATAGAAAATCATAGATTAAAGTTACAACAAAAACTTTATACTAAAGCATATCATATCATGTGTTCACTGTTTAATCTACTCATGTGAAGTCCAACACAATTGAATTTTTCCATTTTATGATTTTTCAATAATTCAGCCGAAATAAACATGAAAGAAAAAAAAGAGGAAAACCAGACACGGGTCAAGTTGCCGGTTTTAGAAGATAGAGGAGGAACTATTTTTGCTTTTAGATTTCAGGAGGAAAAGCTAACTTTTACAATAGTTAAGGCAAACAAAATAGACTTTTTCTTTCTCCATTCACCGAACGGCGATTTATGCCATTACCGCCACCTCCGAGCAGGAGCCCAGCTTTTCCTCTCCCGCCTCTGCCTTATATAATAAAAAACAACGTTGGCCTCCTGCTGCAGGCCATGGCCCACAGGCGTCACATTAGGCCACTGTATTGTAAACGAGCAGGCCTACGTTTCATCTTGTTAAAAGCCCACACTGTATAGAAACTGCATCTACAAATAAAAAAAAGCCCATTCCTGTCCAGCCGCCTTTCTCTCAATGCCTTCCAGCATGGGATGGGAATGAGAATGGGGCGTGAATGGGCCGACCCGCTCCTGGCCTTGGACCAATCTCGTGGCCTCAAAAGTCAATTTGTCATGAATCAACCCATTTTATTTAAAGGTCATATATGGCCTTTTAGTCCAATGAATAATATAAGTCGCCCAAATATTTCTCTATTACCGTAGGCCGTAAATAAATACTATCAACCTATCAACCCTTTTAGAAAAGATAAGATACAAGACTGAAATGTATTATGATGACAATGAAGGTTATTAGTAATACATCAGATTAATTAAGTTTGTAAGTGAACCATGATTCTAATTTCACTTCCGAAAAAATGATATTTCTCAAGCTACTTCTAAGCATAGACGTGCTTACAAGTTATGATCAACCATGCTTATTTAGAAAAAAAATGTAAATGACCTCCCCCTTTTAATCTCGTAGGACCAAAGAAAGATCTCGTTGAAGCAGAAGCGCCTGAGGCTCCCCCTGTTGTCGCCGTTTGACAACTGTGAAAACACAGTTCCTAAAGAAAATGTTAAATTGCCACAAAACCGACCGTATCCACACATTTCGTTAAACCAAACTTCGCATCGCAGATGCACAGGTGCGTTATTTGTAGCAGAGCATTTTGTAAGTACTGTATGCAAGACTTTTACCCTGTTTTTTATCACTACTTCAGCAGTACATTCAGCGAAGGAACCGTGTTTTTCTCTCACAATAAATCAGCACCAGCAGCCAAATTTCAACAAAACAAACAGGGCCATTTACTTCTCGTGTCATGACCTGTCTCAAGTACTAGGAGGTATGATTGAATATAAACAGATATACAGTATTGTTTCTTCATTCAGTCCAATCAATTTGATAACACAACCAGAGTTTACCTGCTCTTGTAGTTCCAAATAAACATTTGGTATATTTCAAAATGATAAAATGTAATAACCTGTGTCAATAATTAATGCTTGGCTAAAAAAAATGTTCATGTCAGGATGCACTTGCTTGATACAATTAAAACAATACATTATGGAAAATGAACAAAAATGGGGTAGCTTCATTCACAGAAGCCTAGAAAAAAATTGAGACGGATCCGAATTAAGAGATTTTTTTATCTACCATGATATGGGCACGGTAGAAAGAATTGAAAAGGCATTCACTTGACAATATAATGAATATCTCCTAACAATTTTATTCATGGTTGCATTAATGTTACATTAGTACCCTGTGAGTAAATACACATGCATGTGGTCAAAGTGAAGTGAGGGCCATGCATCTATGGATTTCATCTGCTTTCACAATTTACACATTTGATGTATGTTGCTTCCGCATTATAGTAGATAATCATAATAGAAAAAGAAAATACTATCAGGAAGTATTAGGGGCAAGCTGTCAATATAACTATAGAAATGCCTCACGTTTTCTCTTTCTAAATGTGCAGGGTCAATGACATCATTGTAATTTGTAAGCACCCAAAGGTCTCTTGAGCGGATTCTTTTGAGGCTTCCTCGGCAGAAAGGGCAAGACTCCGATCTCTTATACCTATACCAACAACAAGATAACATTAAGCAAAGCTATGAATAGAAGGCAAAAAAAGTTATAACACATGGGCATACATTGTATTATTAAATAACTAAAATATAGCGCTATACTTAGCCTCAGAATCCATATCCAAATTGCATAAGCCTGTTCAAATTCACATACAGATAATAAAAATTATGAAAGGCAATTACCAATCTCTATAGCACTTTATGCACATTGCATGACTGCAATTAGGCAGGACCATCTTGGTGCATGCCTCCATGCAAATCCCACATTCATCCTCCCTTTCCAGATCCTTACCAGAAAGCTTTTTCCTATCCTCCATCCTTCTCCTACTCACTATATCTTTGCATCGACCCTTCCCCTTCAGGTCCCTCTCGATCAAACTACTCTCAAGCTGCTGCAGAATAGGATAGATAATTGCTGCAATGCAAGAAGCTTATGAGAGTTCAAGTCCAAAGCAGATTGATCTGGAGGTTAGAAAATGCCCATGTAGGCTAGAGATTACCATAGAATTCCCTAAGGCTTGCCCGCCTTTCATATGTCGACACTGAGCTATCTCCATCAGCATAAACCTGTGTAAACAAAACATGAAGATTTTAATTCCCGACACCCTGGCCTCCTGTACAGAGAAACAAATATAAGAGGCCCAAATTCCAAAACTACATACTGCAGTTTTACCTTGCATATGAGAATGTGAAACAGTCCTAAATAGCTGGGAAGAGCATAACAGCAGCCGCAGTCCAGCCATTGGATGAAGTACAAGAAGAATGGAGCCAGGGAGCTGAACGACAGCCTCATCTGCACACATGCTCCACCATAATTCCTCTGAACGGCATCCGCCCTGGAATTTGCAAACCAGCAGTAAGTTGAAACTGTCCAACCTAACCAATCATCACAGCAGCATTGAATTGAAGAACACATAAGAGAGAAAAAATCGTTACGCCAAAGAAGCATTCTTCAGAAATGCAATGGATTATCGCTGGCCAACATACCGATTGTGTTTTTCCCAAATTCCTAGCATAACCGCAGGTGAACTCCCAAAATTACTCTATTCGTTGATTAATTGGAGTGAATTTACTAAATTACCACCCTACGCTGGGAGTCGACAAATTACGGCATTTCCAAACTGGGCGCTTTCCCCAATTTCAGCGCACGTGGTCATAAGAAAAATCTAATCCAAGGCGCAAGCGAGGCGAGAAATGCCCAAAATAGCGCACAATCCAGGGCGGGGTGAGAGGTAGGGATGCTTACATGGCGTTAGCGTGGTGGATGTCTGCCTCTAGGGCTTTGAGGGGGCCTCTCAGCGGGAGCTGCCGCCCCAGCTCGCCCCGCTGCGCCATGGACCGGCCGCCCTCCCACCAAGAACCCGAGTTCTCGATCCTAGTCAGTTGCCGGCCCCCGACGCCAATAGACTGTGCCAGCTGCCTTCCTTCTCCTCCCTGGGGTAGAGAGAGAAAGCTCGCAGCTTTCCGTCAGGGTGGGGGGAGAGAGAGGGTCAAGAAAAGCGGTGAAGGGAGAGAGAAGGACGGAGGAGAAGATGAAGAAGCTTGTGGAGACGGAAAGACCGAAGGATGGACTTTGGGGGACCCCTTTTGGATTGTTCGTACTTCGGATGTGCAAATCGTTTCCTTTGTACGCGTGATTATATTATTCAATTCATTACGGAGAGGCAGCGATTACGGCCTAGAATCGCGTGATTATATTATTCAATTCATTGCGGAGACCGTAAAGGCCGTTCATCGCCGTTGATGGTAAAAAATGCAATTGGCTCTTTACTCCCTGCATTCTCGAATAGGAATTTAGGTAACACGGCAAAAAAAAATCAATTTCTATGTTTTAAAAAAATTAACAGATTTTTGTGTAATTTCTATGAATTTTCTATGTTTCAAACATTTGCTCTTATCATTTTTACGAAAGGAAATCAACGAAAAGTGTAGCATTCGCTGAATTCTAAGATCTTTTTTTAGTAAAATCCACCGTAGGCCCTTGACCTTGTTCCGAGACATGTACTTAGGAAACTAGGTTTACAAGTCCTTTAACTCGCTAAATGTATCATTTACATCCAAAACCGGGTTTGGGAGGCTGTTTTGTCCAGCCTGGACTGTCACGTTGCGCTGGTTGACTCGATCTGACCAACTTGGACCAGAGCAGAATATGCAAAAAGGCCCCGTGTGTGCTGCGTTTCATTTGGTGGGCCTGCTTCGTCCTGGAGTAGGCGGAGGCGACAGGAGTGGCGACGCTACGGGACATAAGCCGCATGCTTGGCGACGGAGAGGGCGCGACCCATTACAAGCGGCCGGCCTTCGGCTGCAGCAGAGGCGACGCATAGGACTTGGCTACGTGCGGGACGGAGCTGCTGAAGACCGGTGCGGTGGCGATGGGAGAGGCGCGACTTTCGCTTGCGGGCCAGTCTTGATCTGCGGTGACGACGGGAGAGGCGCAACCCGCAGCGGCGGCGGTTGGCAAGATCAGAGGAGCCATGGCCGCTAGGTTTCGCCTTGATGATGCAATTCGCCACGGACTACTGATGAGTTCGCCGGAACCCTAATCGCCTTGTTTCGGTGGTTCTTTGTCAATGTTATGGTCTATAGTTATTCTTGACATGTAGTTGGATTGTTGGGTAAATTAGTGATTTTAGGGTTTTGATGGAGTTGGTGTTTGGTTAGGATTGTCCGGTTCATCAAGCTTTGTGTAATTTAGGTCCTAATTGGATAAATTCTCGCTAGAAGTCCATCATGGGGTTTTTTTCTGTGGTCAGGGTGTGAACAAAACCTATGTTGATGGTAAAGTCACTTGGAAACATGGCTTGGAAGCCGAATTGTGGTGCTTTTTTGGATAGAAGACCTCCTATTGTAGCTTGATTATGTGGTTGGCAAGGTTAAGGTGTATTGTCTTTTGCCCGGCAAACAGTTGCATGATGGCCTTAGAATCATTGAATCGATGATGATACCTTAGTCATGAAACAAATTGTTGGTAGGGTGAACAATTTTGTGTCAGATCTTGATCAAGACAACCGGATAGGTGACAACAACATTTAGGATGATGTTGTAATCAATCCAGTTGCTGATTTACCCAAGGTTGTGAGCCCTGTTAAGGTCACTTATGTGGATAAGAACCCAATGGAGAGGCCATCAGACTTTTTATAGCCGATTGCTGTGAATGAAGGAAGAAGATCGTGGAGTGGACACAAAAGGATCGGGACTATGATGACAAGTGATTATGACTTTGAAGATGGTGATGATGACTTATTTGAGGACAATGTAGATGAAGAGGTGGTGGATGAGGGTTGGGGAAAATGAAGAAGGCAAAGAAGGCTAAGTCACCAGCTAGTACATCACAAGGAGAATCATCTGGTCCCAAGGATGAGGCATCTAGTGGTTCAGATGGTGACGTGGATTTGCCTGATGACTCTGATGGAGAAGGCCAAATGAAGTTGAAGTTCAAATCATTCAACCCTGAGGATCTAGTCAATCCAACCTTTAAGGTAGGCATGATATTCTCTAGTGTGGAGCTCCTAAGAAAAGCCATCATAGAGTACAACCTAAAACACAGAGTTGACATTAGGATACCCAGGAATGATAGGAGCAGGGTTGGGGCTCATTGTGCTGTTGGCTGCCCTTGGACATTGTATGCTTCATTAGACAGCAGAACCAAGGCATTCGTGGTCAAAACTTATGTGGGAGAGCATAACTGTAGGAAGGAATGGGTTCTCAAGAGGTGCACAACCAAGTGGCTATCAGAGAAGTACACTGAGACCTTTAGAGTAGATAGCAAGATGACACTAGGCAATTTTGCAAGGATTGTGCAGAAGGACTGGAACCTGAACCCCTCTAGGAGCAAGTTAGCTAGGGCAAGGAGAATGTCTATGGATAGGATATATGGTGATGAGCTTGAGCAATTCAACCTGTTGTGGGATTTTGGTAATGAACTGAGAAGGTCAAACCTAGGAAGCATTTTCTATGTTGGTCTCAATGATGGCCATTTCAGTCACATGTATTTCTCACTTGATGCATGCAAAAGGGGGTTCCTAGCTGGCTACAGGCCTATCATTTGCTTAGATGGATGTCACATTAAGACCATCCTCAACATGATTATGAAGATCAAAGACCAACTAATGAACATGGTGTACAACAAGCAGCAGGATGTTCATGACAAGTGGCCAGGCCTTATCTGTCCCAAGATTAGGAAGAAAATTCTCTAGAACTCGGAGTGGGCCAACACTTGTTATGTTTCTCCTGCTGGTAGAGGTGTTTTCAAAGTGAAGGATAGAGATTACCAGTACACAGTTAACATTTATGACAAGCACTATGACTGTAGGAGGTGGAACTTGACTGGCATTCCCTGTAGTCATGCCATCTATTAACTAAGACATGAAAGGATCCCTACTAAAGATGTCATACCTCAATGCTACACTACTGAAACTTATAGTGTTGTGTATGGATTTAATGTGATGCCATGTTCTGACAAGACCAACTAGATGAAGATGAATGGTCCTAATATTGAGCCTCCAATATATTAGAAGAAGATAGGAAGGCCACCCAAATCTAGGAGGAAGCAACCCCATGAGATTTAGGGAAAAAATTGACCTTCAATGTCTAGGCATGGCATCATCATCACTGTTCCTGGTTCCATGAGCCTAACCACAATTCCAAGGGATGTCCACTGAAGAGGCAGGCATCAGGCTAAAACAACAAGTGAGAAGGCATCCAACATCTTTTACAGCAACAACAGGAGATGAGGAAGAAGAGAATGCAACCTATACATAGCAAGGCACAGAGGAAGTGATGCCAGAATAGCACCTGCAGCCCATAGTGCAACCATTGGAGGTCCAAGAAACCATGTTGTCCTAGATGTTAGCACAGGTGAACTACTTGTAGCACAATTCCATTGTGATTAATGCAGCACAATTCATGGCCACTTGTCTTCATCTTCTTGCAGGTAACAAATCATATGACTGTGTCACTTGATCATGGGCCTCTCCCTTCCTCATCATTCATCGACAACAACCAGCCCACTGCAAGGCCACTTGTCCTCACCACAGCAACAAAACAAGGAAGGTCCAAGCGCAAGAATCAGGCAAAGAAGAAGAATGGCACTTCTGCTAGAGAGAAACCTGCAAAGAAGAAGAAAAATCCACCAAAGAACAAAGATCCTGCAACAGATCTTGGTTCTGCTACAGCACCAAACCTGAACTGATGGGCATGGTGCAGCCATTAACCATTTTGTTAATAGCTTTTGGGTCCAGCTGTGAGGTATGTGTGTTGGATGTGTTAGTTTACTGACGATAGTGACATGTTGAAAGCTCTAGTTTGGTTTTGGTTAATTGATGAAACCCTAAGTGCTAACCTAGTTTATCAAGATGTTTATGAGATAGGTAGCACTACTCCAAGTGATGAAGCAATGACGAAGATCATGACAATGGTGATAGCATGGTGATGATCAAATGCTTGAACTTGGAAAAGAAGAAAGAGAAAAACAAAAGGCTCAAGGCAAAGGTATAAAATATAGGAGCCATTTTGTTTTAGTGATCAAGACACTTAGTGAGTGTGATCACATTTAGGATAGATAGCCGTACTATTAAGAGGAGTGTAACTCGTATCGAAATGCGGTTATCAAAGTGCCACTAGATGCTCTAACTCATTGCATATGCATTTAGGATCTAGTGGAGTGCTAACACCCTTGAAAATATTTGTGAAAATATGCTAACACATGTGCACAAGGTGTTTGCAGGGTTGAGATGGGTTTGGGTCCCTTTTGGAAAAATGAAATGTCTATTTTTTATTGCACCGGATGCAAAATTCTTGGTGGTTGGCACATTTGAGCAAGGGTGAAGAAGTTAGAGTTGAAATGGAGTTGGTCGAAATGATGCTGGCGTCGGTCTACTGACCGGACGCTGGGTCACTCAGCGACCGGACGCTGAAAGGCTGCGTCCGGTCGAGCTGTCAGACGGCACAGTAGGAAGGGTTGAGCACCGGACGCTGGTCTGCGTCCGGTCAAGGTGGACCGGACGCGTCCGGTCAAAGAAATACGCCTCAGGGAGCTTACTGGAAATGACCGGACGCTGGGGCTTCAGCGTCCGGTCAGTTTTACCGAAGCGTCCGGTCAGCTTCGTAGCCGTTGAAATCTGATGAACAGCATTTGAAGCAGGGGACACGTGGCGTGAATCACGTGACCGGACGCTGAGGGCCAGCGTCCGGTCGATCGGACCGGAGCGTCCGGTCACCCCGCGTTGTGCCCAGTGAAGGGGTACAACGGCTCTATTTCATTGGGGCTCTATTTATAGCCCCATGACCGGCTCAAGGGAGCTCTCTTTGCACATTTTCATTGACATAGCAACCTT